AGTATATTCAGTGGCTGAAGCATCAGCTCACTGAGGTGGAGAGATAAGTAAAGCTCCTGACAACAAAGCCACTTCTGAACAAACATCATGTAAAGAAATGTTCAGGGTATTGAATGTGTGAGTTAAGGAAGCAGAAGATGAAACATTTTTGCTTTTTTACTTTTATTAATAATAAGCCAGTATCTGAGTACAGGAGAATGGAAGAACAGTGTTTAGAATAAAGAATCTTTTATGCATCTGAATAAATGACATATCCAGATGGAATGATTAGATTGCATTTGACAACTGAGATTAGTAACACCCATTATCAAACTATTCTAATCTCATTAACAACTATTCTAGTGTCTTCCTCTAGTAAATAATGACTTTTTCACACTATCTCTGCAAATCAGGGGTCTTCTGTTTTCTGTGGTTTGTGTGATTTCTCTATTTCTTAGAAGAAGAAGAAATTCTGATTCAAGGGAAGCAGTTTTTTTGTTGTAAGTTATTTATAGAAGTTTCAGGATTTCCTCTGGGAGAGGACCCTCAGATCTGTCTATGAGACCATACAGGCTTTTTGTCCTTTCATTTCTGCTCGTGCAAGGCAGAAGCAGATCCCTGGGAATCCCTAGAGCTCCCTAAATGTGGAGCTGACTAAAGAAGGCTGAGAGGTGCCAGTGACCTGAATTTCACAAAATTTGTGCTTTATAGTCTCTGACAGCACGACAAGACTTGTGCCTCCTGAGCCTCCCACATGTCTGCGAGTCAGGAAAGTGGCCTTTTAGAAAGATGAAGTTTTAGTTCGGGAACAGGCAATAAGGCAATTTGTTCTCAAGTATCACAAACTGCTCAAAAATTATATATGAGGTGTCTGAAATTGCAGGTAGGAGTCTTCCACGTGGAAGTCATTGTCAGTGTTGTGTCTGCATGTAATTACAATTACACAAGGAAATTAATTATATCTGTATGTAGACATTTATAGAAATGTCAGTGTGGGGGTGTTTCCATAAATACCATCAGAAATCCTTTTTAAAGGTTGGTAGTATCTAGATTGTACTCCCATGGCAGCCTCTTTGGGGGAAAAAATCAGTCAGATAAAAGGTCATAAATATGTGATAAAGGTCTGTAGTAAACCTCAGTATCCATACTTAAATACTGATAGTAATCTGTATGTCATTAATGCGCTGGTCAGGAACAGAGATTTTTCTCTTAATAAATTAAGTATTGATAAAAACTTAAAAGGTCATAAATAGGTTTTCTACCTTTCAAGTACTCATATCAACTATTTTCTCCCTCTCTGTGTTTATGTAGATGCTCTTTTTTGCTCTTTTCTAAATTGCAGTGAACTAATAAACAGTTAAAATTTACATAATCTATGAGTAGTTCAATGCTTAACTCATATTTTTCTTTTTCCCATGTTATAGAACCATTTTATACTTCCCTACTACAAACCATGCTTTAGTTAATTACATTATATTATTCAATATCTTTGAAAATTAGTGCTTGGTAATGCAGAAAATTAGTGGTGTTGAAAGACTGACCTCTAGAAAGATGTGCTTTATTAACAGGAGCACATTTCACTCTAGCATGGCTTTTTTTCAGCCTAAAATATGCAGGTTCACATCACCCTCATGAAAGTTTACAGCTGATGGAATTTATCTGATCAAAAGGAATCTGGGAACCACGATCCAAGGTGATCACCTGTGATGTGGGTGTTCTTTGTGCATTTATTTGGAAGGAAATAAGTCAGTTCTGTAGTAGCAGTGAAAATGTGTAACACAGGTAATGAAACAACAACGGGCAGCACAGTGTGAGGGGGGTGTTTGAGCTTTATAGGAGAAGGGAGTGTGGGATGAGTCCCATTTGGGAGAGAGGGTGAATAAACCCTGGTTTGGAAACATTTGCTTTTACTTTGGGAGCAGTTTTGAAAAATAAAACGAAGCAATGTCATGGGTAACCCTGTCTGAATCAGTAATCCCACTTTTAGTTGCTAAAATTAGAAACTCTAGAATTCAGAGGGATAAGAGAAGCTTTGAGCCTTCTGGTATGAATAAGTTCTATTTTTATAACAGTAGGATGGGGAGTGCTGCTGTCAAAGTGCTTTTGCTTGGTTGGCCACACAATCTTCTCCTGGGCTGTCCACAGTAATTCCAGGGATGATCAGACTGTTCACTGATATTTAGCAGAGCATTGGCAGCACCAAAATAACAGCTTTTCAAGCAGATATTTTGCTTTAGGTGTGTGCTGTTGCCTCTTACTGTCTGCTTCGAGAAAATGGGAATATTTCTAGATGGTATTTCATTTTTATAAGTTCTCTAGGCTGGATTTCAGTGTCCTCTAAGGAGAACTGAGGTATTTATGGCACTTGGGAAAGCCTGTTAGAGTTTTGTGTACCCAATCACTCAATGGGGAGTTTCTACTCTGCCTGATTTCAACAAGCTGTGTCAGAGAACTCCCTGCTTTTAACTGTAAGGGTACTATTCCATTATTTTTCATCAGATAAGGTCTCTTATTTACATGGTACCATCTTTGATACTCACATTGGCTGCAATATTTTAGCTGAGGCAACCAGCAGAACAAGTAAAAGGCTGGTATTTAATGTGGCAACAGGAGGAAATGAAGTTAGTGGTAAAATTTGTAGCATCCTGATTATTGTGGAAGGTAAAAGCACGTTCTCCACGTTCCCGGTTCTCCTTTGGATCTGAGGAAAGCTTTGAATATCAGGAATGCTTAAAGAAGGAAAGTAGTTGTGTGGATCTACATGGAAATGTCTTTCTGCCCTTAGTGTTACTGGGTGCAAGCAGGGAATGAACTCGATTCCTGAGGCATTTTAATATCACTGTGGGATCATCAATCCCCTCCAAACTTATTGGTTATTTCTGGGATTACTTGACCACCTCAGGGTTTTTTGCCTGCTCCAGGAGGCAGTTCCACTCTTCCTGCAGCAGAAACAGCCCAGTAAAAGCTGGTAACTGGTTCTGTAGGTGGGTCCCCCAGTGGGGCTTGCGAAGAAGGAGGTGGCAAAAAGCATCCTTGTCCCCTGCACATTTAAGGGTTTCTTAGAAAATATGAAAAAATATCCCTGTGCAGGGCCCTGTGGTCAAACAGCCCCAGCAAACTTCCTGCCTCTTACATTTTGGTTTTGTAGCTGTGCCCTGAAGCCAGGAGTGATTAAATACCTCCTGTAGGCCTAAGTAGTGACATTAAAACACGAACATCATACTTACAAAAATGATCTGTTTGCTGTTTGGTTACTCAGAAAAGTGTATTGTCAAAGATTTTGAAAGTGCACATTTCTGCATTTGTAAAAAAATACACATTAATTTTTAAAAATGGTCTTTTTTAATATAATTTCAGGTTTTGTAAATTTAAATTTTTAGCTGTGGGAAAACTTCTCCCACATAAAGTTTGATTTAAAGTAACATAAACAGCCTGAAGATTTTATTTTTAATCCCGAATCAGTTACTACTTAGCACTAAAAGACATGTTCACTTCCGAACCTCAGAGAAGTCATCAGTGTAGTAAATCAAGTTTTGTAAAGCTGTGTAAGAATGTCATAAAAGAAACTTTTGATGACAGTTTGTCCTTCTGATATTCTGTATTCTATACTGTAGCACTTGCCCTTTACTCTTCAACTCCCTTTCAAATGCTAACATTTTTGCAAACACTGACATTCTAACAAATTTCTTCTTTTGAAGAGCTTTACTCACAATTGTACAGTGGTTAAACTAATTTACAAGTGCAGATGCAAGTTGGTTTAAATATGATCTTCATTTTAAAATAACATTTAGCTAGAAATCGAACTAAATGTTCCACTTCCTTTGCCTTAGAGTTACAGAATGACTGTGGTTTACCTCTGTGACTTGTTTCCCTGCAGACACTGATGTGCTCAGAGCACCAAGGAAGTCTGGTTTATAGTCATGCTTAATACTATTTATTTTTCTTCTACAGAGAGCAGGGGACACAGTCACTGGAGATACTGAAAGGTAATACTTCTCTTATTCTCTATGTAGACATATACACAATATATTTATGAATTGTACTTACTGGTTTACTTTTAGAAACTTTGCTGCAGCATTTGAGCAATAAATTTTTGGGGGCTAGAGATATCAGCATTAATATAATTTAGTAATTGTCAGAACTTTCATTTGCCAACATCTGATATAAATATAGATTACAAAGGTGCAAATATAAGTTTATAAAATATTACTAGGAGGGGGAAATTATACTTCTACAAAGTGGTATATATTTTGCCCCATCTTTTATTTTTACTTTTGAAATGCACTATTTCAGACTCACTCTGAGGATGAAAACCACAATGTGTGTCTAACAAGATTTTTAAAACCAACAGGTAGAATGTTTCAGTGGACACCTACATGATAATTCAATCAGTAAAAAACTACAGGTTATGTTCGTGACTCATATTTGATAAATACTAAGAATGGGTTCTTTAGTTTGGCCTTTATATCTGAAGTGAATCAATTAATTATAATGAAGAAAATAGCAATTTTTTCTTTTGTTCCTTTACAGTTTGTCTGATGATGTCTGTTCATGTTCATGTTGCATCCAATAAGTCACATTAAAAGAATAGGTTTGAAATAAAAGATACTTTGGTATCATCATACATCCTAATTAAGCTTAATTGGAATCTGTTCATACAGATACTGGTTCTTTTTTACACTTTTTCACCCTGTATACGGACTAAACCTATTTAAGAAGCTGAACCATGCACTGGATATAAAATAATTAATCACATTTTGAGTGCTTTGGCCAGTCTAAAGGATTTACAGTGGTTGCTGATTTCCTTCAGTGCTACAAACACCTCTGCATTACAGCTGAAATCGGAGCTTCAACAGGATCAGGTGTTGATCACCAAACACACTCCACTTCATGCCTGATTCTTCAGGACTGGAAGCATTTTTGCCTCTTTATATGAGTAGTAAACACAGCAGTTCAGCTGACAGGCAGTTCTAGTGGTAAGAATGTGCTGGTGTTTCTCAGGTGTAGATGCTGCTCATGGTTAAAATGGCATTTAATTAATCAAGCAGAGGAAATTATCAGAGAGGAAAGTGAGGGGCACCTTATAAAAGCCAGTCTTGTCTATCCATTATCACCAGGGCATATTCTGCTATGTCACAATCATTACTTCAGCTAAATGGGAGGGTATTTTTGCAGTCAGTTAAATATAGGCCTGCTCAGTATTTTGTTCCATTTCCGACCCAGAGCATTCCCCATCCTGTGCAGGGCAGGGTTACCTGGGGAAAAGTGTCACTCTCTGTCTCTTTTTAAGTAACAATTGGATTTCACCTTTTGTTCTTATCTCTTATACCTGAGTTTTCAAAACCTACTGCTGTCTGTAAATCCACATTATTTACTGTTTTTACTTAGTCTCTCAGCTCTTTCCCAGGTGCTGTTGTCCTGTTCTTCCCTCACTCTTGCTTCTCCTTGTGTTTAGTCACTCCCTTTTCTCCCTTTTCCTCTGGCTGTGCCCTCCTTGGGTCCTTCACCCTGACTTTCTGTATCAGAAAGAAACCACAGACCCTTCACAAAACCACAGTCCCACATCTCATCCCTTTTTTTATTTCCTTCTCCAAGCCACAGTTTTGTGCAGCCACAAGGAAGAGCTGCAAAGGAATTTTGTTCTTCACAGAGCAAAGGGTGTCTAATTATTCTGAGGGTTGCACATGCTCAGTTTGGCAGGGACATCACAATCCAGATGGAACATCCCTGGTGGACAGGACACACGTCTCCACAGGACATCTGCCAACAGACAGTTTCCAGGGACATATGACTTGATGAAATTTTGGCAAACTTTCATAGCAAAAGGCTATTCTTTTATGTTCTTTTATAGAATGACTCCCCCTTTCCTAATCCTTCTCCCACACGGATATCAGGCCCAAAACACAACCATATTATATCATTTCAATATGCTGAAAAATAATTTAAGAGGCAGAATTATATCTTCTTCCCCCTAATAATCTTTTTAAGTGATTTGAACAGCTTAAACCAAAATAAAACCAATTTTTCAGATATTTATCCCATAGACTTGGGCTTTGGGGAATGGGAGACAAACCATGTGGACAGAATGATATATTTGGATGAAATAACATTATCTCCAATAAATGAAAGAGGGGAAATCTAGGTTGGGTATTAGGAGGGAGTTCTTCCCTGTGAGGATAGTGAGGCCCTGGCATAGGTTGCCCAGAGAACCTGTGAGTGTCCCATCCCTGGAAGTGTCCAAGGCCAGGTTGGATGGGGCTTGGAGCAACCTGGGCTAGTGGAAGGTGTCCCTGCCCATGGCAAGGAGTGGGACTGGATGGGCTTTAAGGTCCCTTCCAACCCAAACCAGTCTGGGATTCTGGGATTTTAGGGACCTATTGAGTTTCTGTGACACTATTGTATCCTTTGCTTTAAAAAAAGCCAAAAACAAAACCAAAAGCCAAACAACAGAAGTCATTTCTCGCACGCAGCAGAACATCCCACAGGCTGCAGGGAACACGTGCTGAAAGCACCAGGAGCTGTGTGAGGAACACGAGACTGCAGAGTGTCACTGGGAATAGGGAGCTCCTTAAACCCCTCGGCTGAGCGGAATGTAGGGCAAGCCCAGCAGCTTTGGGACAGCCTCGAGCAGAATAAAAGTGAGGGATCTCTGCCTGACACCTCTGCTTTCACCAAACCCTTCTGGCACATCCACATCACAGAGCTGGGCCAGCACTTTGCACAGGGCTGGACCTCCACCCCCCCATTGGTGTAGGACACTGTCCAGTCACACCCACACCCTGCCCCCGAGTGGCACAGCGGGCACAGAAATCTGAGCTCTGCTCTAAACCCATCTGGTGGCTGGAGAAGTTTCAGGGCTGCATCAAACAGTCAGGTCTGTCCTACTTGAGTCTTCCCTACTACCAAATTTGAACAGTTTGACAGCAAACACTCTTCTTACTTACCTGAATCAGGACTTGGCACATCACTTTGTATCACTAAATTGAAATGCATTTCTACAAGGGAGGTAGTTTAGCTCCTCTCATATATTTGCAAGTCCCTTTGGGAAATTCAGTCTTCCCCATCTTTGGGGCCTCATTTTAGCCCATAGTTCTTAGCAAAAATACAAAATAAAACTGGTTACTACCTCAACTGAGCAACTTGACTATTATTCCTCCTCTGTTGTTATGTTTCCCCTTTCAGCATAACCTTCTTTTAGTACTCAATGTGGTGCTTTAAGCCATTAATCAAATATGTTTCTAATTCTTACACTAAGACCAATTTTTAAATTATCTAATGGGTAATTTTCTGTAAATATAACATGCTTTACCTCAAACCTCTTCCTGGTCTCCAACTATGATGTTCAGACACTTCTCTTACTCTGAGATGCCACTGCTTTCTGCAGGAGACACTGCAGAACCCAAACCACAACGTGCAGGTGGTTTCCTGTACACTAAGATTTCTCAAGAAGCTCTTCTGGTAAATGATACAGGGGAGTTGTGACTCCACTTCTGAGCAGGTGTTGTGATTTAGGATATCACAGTCTGCAACTGGAGGTGGAATCACTAAATGTGGGAGTGTTCTGAGGTTTAGGAAGGCAAGTTGAACTAAATGTTCCTGGAGCAGCAACCGCTTTGTTTTCCTGCTTACCAGGAGCCTTTGCCCTGTTGGGGAGAAAAGAGTAGTGGAGTCACTGCTGCAGCTTTTTTACAAAACTCTGTGCTGACCAGGGTTCTCTGTGTTCTTTCATCCTTATTTTACTTTAGGAGACCTTTTTTAGTTGATGACAGGAAACCTTGACATCTTACACGAGTGCGTAACGTAACCGTGACATCCCCACGGAGCCCTGGGGTGTGCAGAGCTCCCTGCTCTGCTCACCAGCCAGGCCTTCAAGGGAAGCACAGGCACAACTTTAAGGCTTCTCCTTCTCCTTGCTTTTGAAAGCATGAGTGGAAAATGTGTTTGAAAATTTGTGTTCCAGATCAGACAGATTTGACCCTGATTCAGTGTCCTATTTCCACCAGTGGCCAACACTATTTGCACTGTACAAGGAAAGGCCTCTGGTGATGTTGCCCTGCTTTGTTCTCCATTTCCAGAGAACTCCAGGAGAAAGCTGCAGATATACAAGAAAGAGTATTTTTGCATTTTGAAGTATAAAATTTTTTGTTTGCAGCATCCTGTAGCAAAATGTTACAAACTCTCTGCTGCAGGATGTCGTGGGTAGATTTGGGAATGCATAGTGTGTGTGTATATGCACTACATATTCAGATTATTATTTTCTCCTGTGGTTATTTGACATCTTTCTTCTCTCTGTCCTAGATATGCAAGTTCTGCCATTGACCATCCAGGAAACACATCCATGAGGAAGGTAATGATTTATAAATGTACTTTAAATGAAAGAAAAAATCCTCAATTGTTTACTTCGTTGTCATATTTTTAAAAGATATTTAAGATATCCCAAACCTTGACATTTGTCTGTTATGAAACAGCTGAAAACAAAAATCTAGACATAATTTCCATGTTCAGAAAATTGGATGCTGCAACCACAGCAGGTCAGAGTGTCTGCAGTACTAATTAAGTTTAGGAACCTTAGTGTAAGTTCTGAAGTACGTGCTAGTTTAGGGTGAAGAATCACACACAATGTCTAGGTTAGAAGACACCTCTGGAGAAAGGGTTGCCCTGAAGATAAAGAAAGTTTTTAAAATAATTTTTAAAAATATTTACGCAGTGTAAATACAATGATAGGGAGGGATGGGATTAAGTTTTTCAAGTATTTTTGCTGTGCCAATTTTGAGGTACCCCATTGTTTGATGGAAAATAGCCAGACATTGTTTTATTTTTTTAGTATTTGGCAAATACTTCATACAAAGGACAAAAGACAGAACTTTCATTTGTAGGATGTCAGTTCTTCACTTTGATTTGGCACTTTTTACAGTGATTAGGTTGGACAGGGCTTAAAGCAACCTGGTCTAGTGGAAAGTGTCCCTGTCCATGGCAGGGGGTGGAACTGGATGTGTTTTCAGGTCTCTTCCAACCCAAACCATTCTGTGGTTGTGATAACTCTCTGATTAATAGTTTTTCTTAAAAACTCCTAAGGCCCAAACTAGTGGAGGTACAAGGAGCCAGTTTTGCTTTTTGTTTGGTGTTTAGGTGACAGCACTTCTCCTACCTCTGATTACACTGAGATCTCATTAATTCACCTTCATGGGGCACAGATTTAACTCTGCCACTTTGGTTTTTTCCCTTCCCCCCCGTGCTGCTCTGGGCTGGGGTGGCAGGGTGTGCATTCTGTGACATTTGCTCTCTGGTGTGGTTTTGAGATAAGGATTGAAATGCTGTCAGCACGGTGAGCTCTCCCCTCATCTGCCTGTCTCCCATGGCAACTCTGAGTCACTCAGAGTTGTGAGTTCTGACTGTTTTCTTACAGTGTTTGCCACCAAGTTAATTATATTATAGTGGTTCCTTTATCTCTCAGAATATGGAGCTTGAATTTTGTACATTAGCAGTGCTAATTAACTACTGATTCCCGAGGTACTGCAAACCTTTCACTTTCTCTGGTTTTCTTGCTTTGAATGTGTTGTATGTGAGCAGAAACAAAACAGAGTAACACTAATTAACTTAGCTCTTTAGAACTAATATTTTCTGCTCTCCTTGGTTTGTTGTGCTTGTGTTTTCATTATTTTTCAAACTTTTTTATTAAATGATGGCACACCAGTTTCTGGTGAGTATCCTAACGTGTATCTCCTCCAGATGTGCCATTTGGCTGGCAGTTCTTTAAATTTAATCACCTATGAAAACTGTCGTTAAATTATAGGGTTTTACTCCATCACTATATTTCTTTAATCTAAACTGTGGCAAAATTTGGTGGTGTCCTTTTCAGGAAGGTATCTGCTTTGCCCTCACGCATTTTTGTGGAGGCAGGAACGTTGGACAGATTGTTTCAGTCCCAGTCACCACAGACCTGCAGCTGACACAAAAGACTGACCAATGCTACTGCTGTGATTTGAAGTACATCAGTAAACCCCTGATGCTGTTGTGCACATTTAATACTTTCTCACAGATTTTTGCCTTTTGGTTTTGTGGCTGTATTTTAGTCCATTTCCTCCAGCACAGGAGCAATATTAACCTTTGTCTCCTCTAGTGCTCAGGAACTGCTGATTTCTGCAGGTTGCTAGAAAATGTTCAAAGCTGTGAATGGGCTAAATAACAAATAGGTCTGTAAATGTCCAAAACCAAACCTCCCTCCTCTACTTTTATTTAAAATAAAACTTGGTCTCTCCAGTAGCTGGAGCCTTGTTTTCAGCTGTTTATTTTCTAGAGTGCTTAAACATTTACATCTTTGAGGTAAATTCTTACCAGTTTTTGAGTGCTAACCCTGTTTTTAGAAGGTCTAAATAATGAAATGCCTTTAGGGTTTTCTTCAGAATCTGTAACAATTTTCTAATTCAACCACAAAAGAAAGAAAGAATTATTTTTTTTCTCCTCAGAGTTATTCTGTCAACCTACCAACCCGACAAACTTCATTGTTTCTGTGGCTGGAAACAATTAAAAAACCTGACTTCAGCATGTCATTGAGCACATGACTTTCCACATTAACTATATAATGTTTGGGGTGGATATTTCTTTTTGAATGAATATTTGTATGACTATTTACAATAAACTTCAAGTATCAGTCATTTATGCATCATTCATGTGAGTTTACATCCCTAGTTTTCAAACTACTTCATAGCTGTTCATGCAAATAATCCTTAATTATTTGATTGCAATAGTAATAAATAATTTTACTATTACTTGCACTGGTGTTTCATAATTATTTCTTTTTTCCTTACAGTCATTCCATTACGCTTCCCTCAGGGTAAAGAGCAGGAAATGGTCAAAAGGTAACTGATTGCAGTCAACATTTTGGGGCTCCTTCTCTCATAACAACTGGGCTTGGTCAAGTGCCAAAGTTCAACTTAAGTATTTCTAAATGTGATGGCAAACACCAAAGTAAAATACTGAATTAAAATACCAAAATAAATGTGTTATAATGTATAATATTGCTTGGCTGAGTGGTACAATTTCCTCTGACTGAGGAAGAAGACAGGTAGTACTTGTATATTTTGCTATTTCCTTCTTCTTTATTCATGGCGTATTTGAGACATCAAACAGTAAACAGAAAAATAATTAGAACCTAATAAATTCATATGAAAATACGTGGCTTTAATTCAGTTTGTTGGTTTAATCTCCTTAAAATGTTCCTTTTATTGTACTACATGCTTTCGGTACATCTAAACCTGCCCAGGACAAAGCTCAGGATGTTACTCTAAATGAGAAAATCATTGAGAACTTGGCTGTGGAACGTTGCAGAACAAAGGACAGTGTTTTGATGTTCTCTAAATTTCTTCCCTGTTTCACAGCTGTAGGACAAATGTAATTCCTGTATCTTTATAAACTTGATTTTTCACAGAAAAAAAAAGTCTAATATCTTAAGGAAATTTCCTACAGAGTTTTTTTTAGGGAAAAATGATATAATTTAAACCCCCTGGTTTCTAATATTTACAGGGCACAACTAAAGTTCTAAGCCTCTCCATTAGGATTTACTGAAATAACACCAAGGGGAAAACCTTTTCCTGGTGCTGTGCCTTTAAAAGAAAGTTGTGAAGTTAAAATATTGCTGTTCACTTAAACTCAGCATAAAAGACATGTAAGCATTGCATGATTATGGAAATGAACAATCTTTCTTTTGTATTGACTATAAAAATGGGGTTTAAAAATTCCCAGAATTTGACAGGCCTTCTGTTGCTGAGAGGAAATACATAGGAAAAAGTAATGTTTGCATTTGTGTACAGATTGTGTCATACTCTGAGTTTCTGATTGAGGCTAAATAAGTACATAAATTTATATAAATAAATAAATACATACAAATTTTTAGTTTGGAATGATGCTGCCCCTCTTAATCAGACAAAAGTGCAACCCTAAGAGGGATGAACCTCAAGGGATTAAATAAACCATTGCACAAACCAGGCCCTTTTTATTTCGTGTTCACGCTGGAACCAAAATTGCAGAGCGTTGTGGAATTTGGAAATTGTTCATTCCATCTCCTCTCCCAGAAACTATGAGAGGGTTTGGCTTGGAGGGTTTTGAATTGAACCATCATTAAAAATGAGTGGTGTGTTTATACTGACCAGGGTTTTCCTTGCTGTGTTCTCAGGGAGTTCCCTGTCCAGCGTGAGCAGGAGACGCATTTCCTGCAAAGACCTGGGGCACGGCGACTGCGAGGGCTGGCTCTGGAAGAAAAAGGATGCCAAAGGTTATTTCACACAGAAATGGAAAAAGTACTGGTTTATTCTGAAGGATTCCTCCTTATACTGGTACACAAACCAGAATGTAAGTATTGCAGAAAGTAAAACTGAAACCTTCGGCTTTATAATTCTTTTGGCTAAAGTCTGTTTTTACTGCGTGGTTGGTTATGTCCCTGAACTGCCACTTTAATTGCCAGGTCTGGGTTGCTCTAGCTGGAAATATTTCAACTGAAATTCTTTTTTAAGGTCTATAAGTCCGTGTTCAAGCTTAATAAAACAGCAGATGTTCCTGATGCTCTCAAAGAAATGAATATGTCAGTGGTTAATACTTTTCCACAGGTCGTATTTATTTGGACTAACACAGTGTTCACACTCAGCTCTCCTCAGTTTCAGTTGTGTGAGGGGATGTATAAAATGTAATATGCATAAAGTGTATTTGTCTTAGTCAAGCATTGTGTGAAGCAGATGTGAAAATCTGAATGTGTAGATCTCTTTCTCTAAAAGTTATTTTTATGTAGATGCTCCTCTCGCTTTTTGCTGAATTAGTCTGGAGTTTGCAGTTTCTCATGTGCAAAATGCTGTTCTTGGTGAAATTTTACTGAAAACCACTGGCACAATCTGCAGAAATGTAGGGGAAAATAACAGAGGGAGAAGCCCCAAATGGTTCAGTGCTGCTTTTCCCTTTGTTTGCAGGGAGCCGCAGTGTGCAGGTGCAGTGATTGTTGGATATTTTACTCCATATCTCCCATTTTCTTCAGGAGAACAATTTTAGCAGCACGATTACCCTTAGTTTTTGTGTTTTTCTGTCAGCCAAAGCAGTGTGGGTGATGAAGGCCCTCGGGCTCTGTGCTGTACGTGCTGGTGACAGTGCCACACACGGGGTGGTGGCACTGGGGGTCCCACTGAGAATTAGGCTGTCGGTACATCCAAGCCAGACTTCATCATGCACTTGCTAATACTTTTCAAAAATCTGACAGGTGTTAATACATCTCCTTGCTTTTCCTGCTGAATTACTTCAAAAGAAGCAAAAAAAGTGACAAGATGCACTTCCCAGTTATTACCTCTCCATTTAATCACAGTGAGGTCCCTGCAGGAGCCTCCTCAGTTACTGTCAGCAGGGCAGATGGGCTGATAATTGTGCCTTTAATGGGAGACATCCACCAAACATCTGTAAAATGCAGATATATCGTGAAGAAACTGAGAATTCCTCTCTGTTAAGGCCTTAAATGCAATTTTAGGTGCTGTGTATGTGGCTGGAAGGTTTTCTGTGATCCTCAGCAAAGGGGGGTTAGAACGGCTGGGCTTCCTTTGAGAAACTGTCAGTTGAGTTACTTCACAAAGTTATTGACATTGTGTGATGAATTAAACACATTTCAGAATAAAAACAGTATGGGGAAAATATGTTCAGTACTTTGTTTGATTGGGTGGTTGTTCTGTGTGTAAAACCCAAGTGGCTGGTGCTCATTTCTCACTTCTTTAATTTTATGCTCTTCCTCACCATCACTTTTCCCTCCTCTTTTGGCAGGATGAGAAAGCAGAAGGATTCATTAGTTTACCCGAGTTCAGGATAGACAGAGCAATTGAATGCAGACGAAAACAGTGAGTAAAGTGCCAGTTTTGTTTGTAAACCAAAGGATCGCTGTTGGAACTTTACTGTACATAGGAATAAACATTTGCAAAGTCCACCAAAGGAAGCTACTCAGAAAACTTTGACATCTGTAAATGGTGCAGCATAGATCCCCTTACGCTTTAGTATTTTTCTTTATTAAAGAAGATATAATGTAATGTAAACTTCATAGCTGGATTACAGTGAATTGAGTAACTCTTTGCTCAGTTTGTCACATAGCTCAGTTACCACTTCAGCCAAGTAAGTAAAGTAAAACACAGATAACACTTTACTCAAGAGATAAAACTTTCTCAGGTTCACAACAGCCACATTGATAAGAATCAAATGTGCAATAAATGCCCATAGGAAACAGCATTAAAAATGTCATAGCAATGGATGGTAAATATAATCTTAATTTTCTCCTTTATGGAGGAAGCTTTACATACCCAATATTGTGTTGTTCTCAACTGCTAAAATATTTAGGTTCCATATGCAAAATGAGCATTGCATTATTGCTTATGTGCATATTGCTACTTTTACATTCTGCTCCCAGTAAAAAGCACATTATAAGCTTTTCCATAATTAAGGCATATTTAATAACAGACACTCACTGGAAATTGCTTCCAAGCAGTGTTGGGATTGGAATTAACATGTTTAACAGAACAATTCCAATGCTTTCAGACAAGCACTTTGCTGGTATCTCCTCAGTTACTCGCATTTGTTTTCTTTATGCTTTCCTAATTTAACTAAGCATCCTGGATTTTTGGTGTGCTTTTCCAATGACTGAATGCAGTTTTGGTCTGAGGAATACAAGTCCTATGACTATGAACACATGTACAACGGAGATATTGAAGATATGAATTGCAACAGAGTCTGCTCATCAGAAAATCAAACCTCTTCATTTTCTGCTCTTGCATGGAGATGTTATTACCGTGTCTGAGAAGTACAAGATAGTGTAATTTATACTTCTATTCCTCCTTTCAGCTGAGGGTATCACTATAGAAATTACACATGAACTGAGCACTATAAATACCTCAGAGCAATGAGTAGATATTAATAATGATATTGAACAAAAATACAGGAAAAATAATACCCTTTTGTTAGAATATAAAGCACTTAACAGATTTCAGTGAATTAAGCAAGATCAAACAGAAGGTCATTGTGCATAGCTAGAAATAGCTTCCAGAGCTTTCCTCTAAGCATGAGAACACAATCCCTCAGAACTCTGCTCAGAGAACCATTTCTGGAGGGTGTATGCTCAGGAAAAACTCCGATTAACCGAAACTTTGCGCAAAGCTGAAAGCTCAGAACCTTCAGGCTTTGAATCCTTTCAGAAAGAGGCAGGTCCAGAGGTAAAAGTATAATGAAGATGTTCATAGTATATTCCCTTTATTCCTGAGCTGAATTTCCCTTTGATTTCTTCCTTCATGGACTATCATTTATGTATTTCCCCCGTCATAAAACCCACACTTTACATTTGCCATTATTTTATCTGCTCCTCTGAAACTGCAGAGGATGTAAGTGCAGCGTCAGGCTCACTTAAATTTGGTATATCCAGCATGTGGGAGTGGAGGTCCTGCTTGTATCCAGCCAGCTCCAACCCACAGCCCCTGGGAGCACATGTGGAAAGCATTCCCTGTCCTGTGCTGTCTTACCAAGGACAGGAGCCTGATTCCATTGCCCGATTCCACTGAAAAGCTAAAATCCCACTGTCACTTCTTCAGCTCTCTCAAAACAAAGCTGAGAACATTTGGGGACTCAGCTTGGATTTCCCCTCAGATTTCTGTTATTTTCAGAGCCACTGATGTGAAATGTTCAAACCCCTTTGAACAAAAGGATTTGAAGTCTTACTGGGATAATTAATGGATTTCCCTTTCCCACTCTTGTGCTGGATGGAGAGTTCTGTTTCATAGCTTCACTGCTCCTGATGTCCACAGCACACAGGGAATGGAGTAGCCTTAAGAAAGCTTTCACAAGAATATACAGTAATTGCATTATTCTGTATGGTTTGATGATTTGCCTCAGTAATGCATTTAATGAAGGTACACTGATTATTATCTCAGACTGGTTCAGCTCTCCAGGCTATATTTGGACCCAGAATGACCTCATCCCTGTGAAAGGAGGCTTTTTGCATTGACACTGAAAACCTTTCCACTGCTTTTAGGCAACACCTGCATCTTCCTGATTAAAAATGGTCATGCTGTATGAGGAATCATAGTTATTTCAGTCTGCATGCTGTGGCATGACATGAACATTGTGTTATTTTCAAAGACACTGGTAATTATAATGCCCCATGATGAAGCTGATCCCCAGATATAAAGACAAATTGAACTAGTAATATAATTAATCATTATTAACTAGTGCTTTGCCTGAACCTTCAGCAATTTCCACACAGTGAAAACTTTCATTGCCTGGTTAATGCAAATTTAGGTCTTGAATTTATCAAGGATAAATTGGCACTTTGTGTCGAGACTGTGCAGTTGCTCTATACAAATGTCATTGATGTGGTACAAGTAGACATGAAGTTTTAAGTAACATAGAGATGAAGTTCTAGCTTAAGTGTTACTACACTTTTAGTAATTTTTATTGCTTCTGCAAAGAACTTGATAGGCTTGCAGACAGCAAACCCCACTTGAGCAACTAGTGGGTCCCCACAGGGAAGAAGCTTCCTAGGCTATATTAAAAGTGATTATTCCCTTATCCTTGGCATTCATTACACCACATCTACACCATTGCATCCAGTTTGGGGCCCCCCAAAACAAGCAAAATGTAAAATATACAGATATCATTCTTTTGCACTATTCGTATTTATGCATCTCGAATTGTTTCCCTGGAGACTTTTCTCCTGTTCCAAATGCTGGTGTATCTAAATGTTTCCCTAATAATAATCTTGGTGACACGGCTGGGAGATGAAGATGGATTTATTGTCATATTTCGCAGCCCTGACACAGAACTGCAAAACATTTCAATGAAGAGTTTGCACAGAATTAGAATCTCTATGTCATAACAATAAAGGGCTGTTTTCTGAGTCTGTAAACATGTAACAGTGCAATCCACTATTGCAGCTGGAATTCTCACCATCTCAGGAAATCAACATAATATCAGGCAAAAAGATCTTAAGGAACATTCACGTAGTAACCAATTGAGTCTGCTGGGACCTGGCATGTGAGAACTCCTTTGCAGGAAGACCTGCAGCATTTAACTGATCTACCCTTGACAAAATTCTTGCTCTTTCTGCATTTTATGATCCACTCACAAATTCTTTACCAACTGAGACAGGAGCCTGCGGTGCCTTATCTGTTGCATAGTCCTGATTTCACCTCCCTGTCCCTTAATTGAGGTGGAGTTACTGTGAGAATGTAACAGTCAAATAAATAATCACAGAATCACAGACTGGTGTGGCTTGGAAGGGACCTCAAAAATCATTTAAAAATCACCTTATTCCAACTCCCTGCCCATGGTCAGGGACTCCTTCCACTAGAAAACGATCCACTGATCACAGATTGGATGACATTACAAGAGCACAGTGGAGCCAAATTAAATTGTGTTTATCACACTGACTCTGACGTTTTCTAACTTTTAAAAGGTTCATTTGAGACCCCAATATTGGCATTTTAATGCCTTTATGTATGTAAATGTCCTGCCTAGGAAAATAAACCTATTTACAAGCAGGCACTCCATCATGTGATATTATCTCAGGATTAGCCAAAAGGATTAGGATCTTTAGATCCACCACATAATCCTCCCCAATTCCAGCCAATCCTGACACCTCAGCACTGGGAGATGTTGGGCAAATGGAACAGGAGAAGGTGTAGATGTTGCACAGAGTTCAGACCAAAAATATAACTATGCAGGAGTGTTTGTTCAGTCATGAATTTCTATTTTGAGCATTAAAAATTTAGCTCTGTGAGGAATTTCTGTGAGGAGGTGCAGTGTTTGCTAATCACTGTGTAATTAATGATGTGTAATGTCCTGCTCTAATTCACATGGGTATAAAGACTTGCACAAAACTATTCCACTTTCCTTACCCACAGACAGATAGCAGCTGTTTTCACAGAATCACTTGGAGTTGCTGGTACTTGGTGGGCACAGGGGAGTAAAAAGTTCTGCAACAAGAAGCAGGACACTAATAATAAGAATTTTTGATGTGAAAATCATGTTATACCAATTGGGTAAAAGAAATCATCGATTTGATCAGAGCATCCTTAAAACTACATTTCTATAATGATCCCAAGTAGGTATAATTAACAGGCCTGTGCCATCTAGTGGGCAGCAGAAAGGTTCTACCCTGTGTGGGATTTCACATTTAGTCACTGCTTTTATTGACAGAATAGAAGTAGCCAGGGGCGTGAAGCTTTGCAGTTGGAATTATCACTGTCCAGATACCAAAACAATACTGAAATACCTCTCCAGTCTTCTTTATGGAATTTAGATGTTTTATGGTGACCTTCTGTGCAAAGATAACCTTACCCTTTTATACCTCTAATCTCATGAAAAAGAAAACTGCACATAAATATAACTCTGCTGTAGGACTTTTGTTAAGAAAGCCTGTTACTGGATGCATTTTAATTAATAAAATATATAGGAAAATCAGTGTGACCAAGGGAAGGTTCCTCAGCTTTCATTTTGTCTCTGAAAATTGAAAGAAATTGTAGTAATTAAAAAACCACTCATTTGCATTTAAGCTATTAATAGTGGAAACATTGCATCACAGGTTCTTCATAATTACACGTGTAATGATTCCTAATCTAGTTCTTACATCTGGCAATTACTACCTAAATGTCAGTATTTTAACATAAATGTTATGAATGATAGTGTGGCATTTTTTGTAACATTTGCCACCTAATCAAATTAATAGTCTTTAAAGCTGGGAGTTTGTGGTTTCCTTGATAGCAATGCTCATTTTCATTATATCCCTACAAAAATTTTGTAAAAATACGATTATTGTTCTTAGCTGAGGGAGAGCCCAGGGATTAGATCACATAAAAGCATTAATAAAAAGCATTTTATGTGAACTATAATCACCCATGCTGTCAGACTGATTATTATCTATTATTCCAGTGATTTCTAATTTAACAGAACTTGGCAGCCCTCTATATTTCTTTTTGTAGGACACAAATAAATCCAAATATATGAGCAGAGGTGGGGGGATCAGACCCTTATTCCTCTAGCTGATCTTTGGAATACAACTAAGATGTACTTCAATATACTCAACAAGATTTTCAAGAATTTGTTAGATGTGAAACATCAGTGGTTATTGAAAGGATTTATACTTCTAAGTCCTTCAAGGGCTTTTGGAATTTTTACAAAGCATGAGGTTCACAAATGGAGATGTAACCAGAGCAGGAGGAATCCAGCTATGAATCTGTGCAGCAAGATTCAGCCTGAAGGTTACAAATGCCTGTGAAACCTGTCCCATGCTGAGGAATCACCGAGCAGGGCAGTCTTGTGTATTTGTAGACAAGCTGAAAAAAAGTGGGTTTTATTCTTTGTGCTCTTTTTATAGTGCCTTCAAAGCATGTCACCCCAAAATAAAGAGCTTCTACTTTGCAACCGACTGCCTTGAAGAAATGAACAGGTGAGTTGTGTCTCCTCTTGATCGTGGGATGTTCTTTATCCTGGTGCTCCAGCATTTCATCTCCACAGAATTATACTCTGGGAGATCATGCTGGCTGATGGTGTGCTCAGGACTTAGTCCACTCAGGCTTCCACTAATTTTAGTAAACACATCACATTCTGTGGCTCACTTTGCTGAAATTTTCTGCAAAGGAAAGTCAGTTGTGTTGGTCTCATCTACACTAATTAGAAATTGGGTTTTTTTAATGGGTTCAAGGTTTATCACCTTTGTGATTTTTTTGTTAATCAAGGTTGGAAGTCTTAGTGGGATCAATGTTTCTGTTATACAAAAACAATGCAAGCACACCAAGGCTCACGCAGAGTATGCCCAGTGATGGGACAAGGCATTTTAAAGTTAGCTCTGGTGACAATCCACAGTAACATGACATGACCTGAAACCAGAGAAAAACAATTTGGAGTAATTTTTGTAACAGGAATGGGATTGAAATTGAGATGCATTTATTTTTTATGCCAGAATTAATATATATTTATTTGTATAAAAAGAAATAAAAATCAACTTCCTCCCCACCCCCAAGAAAAAACCACAACATTTAAACTCAGAAGTAACTAATTTTGTTCACTACATCACTGTCCCAGCACAGAGCAGAGGCCAGCAAAGTTCCATTTTGGGGGCTGCAATGTGCTTTTAGATGTCCTTGAGTGCACTGGGAGGACATTCCAAACTTCTGACTGGACAAGGCCCTGGACAACCTGATCCCACATTAAAGCTGGTCCTGCCGTGGGCGGGTGTGAGAACAGACACCTCCTGAGAGCTCTTCTAACCCAAATTACTCTGTGCTTCTCTTGTGATTCAGTGATGAAAGCAGAGCTTAGGAAAAGGTGGGCTGGTGCCTTTGATTCCAAAAGGCACAGTCAAATGTCCTACCCCCTCCTGTTACATCAGGAGTTTGTGTATTCCCAGCTGAGGTGAAAAGCAAGGACACGAGGGACAATGTCACCACATTGGGAAGTCTGAAATCTTTCCTGGCACCGTTGTCTATAACTTTGAGATTTAGTTTGTTCTTACTGTTTGCCAGCTGGGAAAGACAGACCTACCTCAGGATACAGCTGGATTTTTCTTTGGAATACTAATGCCTAAAAATTATTATTGAATTGAACATTCCCATCCCAAGGTTTACAGCACACGGTGTGTTGATGTAGGAGACTGGCTGGGTTGAAGCAGCTCAGGCCTGTTTATTGTGCACTGAGGAGGATGATGAGGTTCAGTCACTGGGATACTTTCAGGGTATAAGTTTGCTGAAACATATTTTTTCCCTGTTGTTAATGTTCCATTGTTCAGTTCTGTTGTGTGGCTCAGATTTGTTCAGACCAAACCAAAGTGAGGGTGTTCTGTTGTTTAACTCAGCGTGGTCTCTGCCTTGGCTTTAGTTACTGTGGGAGCTCTCGTTTGCTCAAGTGCCATCGATCATATTTATCTATTATACATAAAGGGTTCTGACTCAAGGAAAACCTGCAAGTCTTGACATAGTTCAATAAGCTGCTTTTAAAATATCCATTGATTTTTCCATGGGGAGCCAAAGGAGCTGCCTTTATGGCCCTGTACAGCCTTTGAGCAGAGGAACAGCTGGGAAGGTGCCAGCATGTCTTTTCATATCATACCACCACTTCACATCCTTTACTTTGGAATTTACAAGAGCCTTTTTCCTGATTTTTTGGGTCTGATTACCACGGGAGAAGGCAAAGGGTGAACTTCTACTTGAAGTATTTTGTACAGTATTTTCCCTTCAGCAACGCTGTTCCTGTAGAACACTTGTAATTCACTCCTCACCCAAATGATGGATGACTCTGCTACCTCTGTGAAATCCCTGGGCATCCCCTGCAGCTTTTCCATGCTTCCTGGAACTCCTTCTCCCATATGCCCTGTGTGAAATTCAAAGTGAGGAAGGAAGATTCATAGATGAGAAGTGCATTTAAAATACTAATTTCGCAAATCTCTCTCTTCCCAGCAAATTGCTGACCATGTAATGTGAGGAAATAGAGCAAATGCTTTGCATGGTATCTGCCTTTCCTGCTGTCACCACAAAATTTAACTGGATTTTCCATGCTGACAGAGGGGTAGATCCTTCATGCTGAAAAGGAAAGGAGTTCTAACGTGGGGAGGAACATTCTTTATTCACTATGTGGGGAATCTTTGCTCTTTCTTCAACTGCCTTTACCACCAGCTGTTGTTTCAACAGCTCTTTTTAGACTTTCTTACATCAGGTTCGCTGTTTAATAGTTTTTCCCACTCCAGAATATTGTCATCTGCCTTTGACCCAGCATTGCTGGTGGGGGGGTTGTACCCAACAGGCAGGAATTGATTTGTCTGTACAGATCGAGGTGCTCAGCTGGGGCTGAGCTTTTCCTGCTGTGCTTTCCAGTGCAGACACACTTGGCTCTGCAAAATTAATGCTCGTGCTGTTTTGTCAGGTCTTACACGAGCACAGTCGTGTTCTTGGAAATGAATTAATAATGGAATTGATGAGCTCATCTTTTGCTTGCTACTCCAGGCTTGTTAAAGGCCTTATTTCCCAGAAGTGTTTCATCTATTACCACCCCACACATAACCTGTTTATGGCTTTAATTAGCATTGAGTTTCATATTCGGTTGTTTTACAATATCTACTTTATTTAAAACTTCCATGTCATTGAAGTCTGCAGTGCAGTGCATTTACAACCTCCTCATGGGCTCCAAATATTAAATTTAAAAAAGTTTCTATTTTAGGCTGAATAATTTGATCATATTTGATTTGAATAACTGGGTTAACTTTGCAATTTTAATAACTCCCATAAATCTTTTGCGTTCATTCAAAACACATAACAAATATCTGTTACTGAAACAGAATAATGATTGATTTTTATAGGGGTTACCCAATATTTTTCAAGGAAAGACCTGAAATATTACAATTCAATATTTCTTTTCAAATGAAACTGCTTGAAAATTGAAGTATTCTGAATTAAGTCTCCATTGTTTATAAGCAAATGTTATGGTGTCTCCCATCTACTTTTATGTATGGAGTATAACTGAGTTACTCCAGACTTGCCCTAAATCATCCTGTTTATTACTAAAGTTTGTTCAACTGTCTCCCTTAAATTTGGAGTGGTTTAGTCTCCTGGAGAGGTCTTGTCCAAATCAGATGGTGAGCCAGGATTGACACAGTTTTTACAGTTTCAGTGTTCTTTGTCTTCGTTTTAAAGAAACCAACACCTCAGAAAAGGCCTTGGCAACTAAAACTTTCATACATGTGGCCCTATTAGACATTTTCCCCCTAAAACAAGAGCTCCTGGAGAAGTGTCACATCTGCCTGGCCTATTTTAACAGTTCTTTAACGATAGGGCTGAGTTATTGCAGAGCTCTGGCTCCATGAAAAGCAAGGAGAGAATTCTGCAGAACAGGAAAGGTATTTTTCAAACAGAAATCCCTGAAATGGAAGTTCCCAATGGTGCTGTAAGCAGACATAAAGAGCAGGTTTTCCCCTTCCTCCTTTATGTTCCCATAAACTTGTTTCAAACCCGTGCCCGAGGCCACGTCAGCCCTCTAATTTATTGTTCTCACATAAAAGCTCAGAAGTTGCAGCACAAGTAGAACAATTTTGTGATCAGAATGAGCTGCAGGCCCAGGGACTGGGTGAAACCACAACGTTTATGGGAGTGAGCAGGGCAATAGTGGAGGAGAACACCAGGAATTCCTAAGAGTGAGCTGTAAGTCTTCCAAATCTCCTTTCCTTGGCTTGTCACCCAGCTCCTCATTTCTAGGATTTATGGATGATTTACTACAGAGCCGTGAACTACCATTTCCCCCTTAATTCAGTTTGAGACCCTCTGGTTTACAGAGTTGCACTAAAGGAGTTTGCAATCCACAATTGCAATTATCCACTCAAATTAGCATTCAGGTGTGAATTCCTCCCTGGTGCAGGAGCAGGATCTGCATTGGCTTTCTGCACTAATTTAAATTACAAAATTAACTTAATCATATTCTGCTGTAAATAATACCATTGTGAGTTGATCCAGTTCTTCTGGGAGCCAAAGAGTTCAGCTGCATTTAATATTGCAGGTTTAGTGATTCCAGCTCTGCATGTGTCCCAGTCCAGACTGGGGTGTGAGACACTGAGCTAACACTGCCAAACCTGAAGATTTAGTGAGAGAAATAAGTAATATCATAATTAAATAGTTGGGCACTTAAGAGGATTGTTTGGCCTATTTGATCTGATTTCTTTAAGACTATGTGAAAGTAGAATTACATAATTTCTCAAGTAAATAATCTCATTTCTTAAAAAAAATCCCCTCTAAATCCCAAAAAACCCCACCTAAACTTCAGACCATGCTAAACTCAGTTCTGTTGCTTATAAGGAATGTTTCCTTTTCTCCAGAGCTTTCTTTTGGGCCAATCATTTGGTGAAAGCTGGGGCAAAGACTTGAATAAATGACTAAATAGAAGTTACAGCAGAGTGAATTTTTGTGACTGTTTTGGTAGATTTTCTTAGGGATTATTATTGGTTTTATGTGAAATTATAGTCTATCAGTTACTGTGTGCATATTCTCAGTGCTACATGACTATATTTATACAATAAATGCTATTTTACTACCAGAAGGGTAATTTATTTGCTACAGAAATAATAAACTTCTTTTGTCTGTTACCCACTGGGGAAAACCAAAACCAAACAAAGAAACCCACGCCAAACCAGACTTCTGAGTAGAGAGGCATAATTGTGCCTTTGTTTGACAGGGTGAAGTTCAAAAAAAATTGCAAATAAAAATAAATATCCCATGAAGTGCATGAAGTAGATGCACATGCGAAGAGGGCACGAATTGCCACGGTTCACTTGTCAGCTCTGGAGCTGTCTGGGGCTTTTTTCCTGTTTTTCCAGGCTGACAAATCTAAGAAGACAATGCATGAAACAAGATCAACAGTCATGTCAAATTATCAAGTCAGAGAGTACTTACAGTTTATCCCATGAACGAT